CAATATTATATTATATTATATATTAATAATATTACTCACATTAATAATATTACATATAGTAATAATATCACTCACATTAATAATATCACTCACATTAATAATATTACATATAGTAATAATATCACTCACATTAATAATATTACTCACATTAATAATATTACATATAGTAATAATATCACTCACATTAATAATATTACTCACATTAATAATATTACATATAGTAATAATATCACTCACATTAATAATATTACTCACATTAATAATATTACATATAGTAATATCACTCACATTAATATTACATATAGTAATAATATCACTCACATTAATAATATTACTCACATTAATAATATTACATATAGTAATAATATCACTCACATTAATAATATTACTCACATTAATATTGCATATAGTAATATCACTCACATTAATAATATTACATATAGTAATATCACTCACATCAATAATATTACTCACATTAATAATATTACATATATATTAATAATACATTAATATTACATATATATTAATAATACATTAATATTACATATATATTAATAATATCACTCACATTAATAATATTACATATATATTAATAATATTACTCACATCAATAATATTACTCACATTAATAATATTACATATATATTAATAATACATTAATATTACATATAAATTAATAATATCACTCACATTAATAATATTACATATATATTAATAATATTACTCACATTAATAATATTACATATAGTAATAATATTACTCACATTAATAATATTACATATAGTAATAATATTACTCACATTAATAATATTACATATAGTAATAATATCACTCACATTAATAATATTACTCACATTAATATTGCATATAGTAATAATATCACTCACATTAATAATATTACATATAGTAATAATATCACTCACATCAATAATATTACTCACATTAATAATATTACTCACATTAATAATATTACATATATATTAATAATACATTAATATTACATATATATTAATAATATCACTCACATTAATAATATTACATATATATTAATAATATCACTCACATTAATAATATTACATATATATTAATAATATTACTCACATTAATAATATTACATATATATTAATAATATTACTCACATTAATAATATTACATATATATTAATAATATCACTCACATTAATAATATAACTCACATTAATAATATTACATATATATTAATAATATTACTCACATTAATAATATTACATATATATTAATAATATTACTCACATTAATAATATTACATATATATTAATAATATTACTCACATTAATAATATTACATATATATTAATAATATCACTCACATTAATAATATTACTCACATTAATAATATTACATATATATTAATAATATTACTCACATTAATAATATTACATATATATTAATAATATCACTCACATTAATAATATAACTCACATTAATAATATTACATATATATTAATAATATTACTCACATTAATAATATTACATATATATTAATAATATCACTCACATTAATAATATAACTCACATTAATAATATTACATATATATTAATAATATTACTCACATTAATAATATTACATATATATTAATAATATCACTCACATTAATAATATTACTCACATTAATAATATTACATATATATTAATATCACTGCATTAATAATATTACATATATATTAATAATATCACTCACATTAATAATATTACATATAGTAATAATATCACTCACATTAATAATATTACTCATTAATATTGCATATAGTAATAATATCACTCACATTAATAATATTACTCACATTAATATTGCATATAGTAATAATATCACTCACATTAATAATATTACTCACATTAATATTGCATATAGTAATAATATCACTCACATTAATAATATTACATATAGTAATAATATCACTCACATCAATAATATTACTCACATCAATAATATTACTCACATTAATAATATTACTCACATTAATAATATTACATATATATTAATAATACATTAATATTACATATATATTAATAATATCACTCACATTAATAATATTACATATATATTAATAATATCACTCACATTAATAATATTACATATATATTAATAATATTACTCACATTAATAATATTACATATATATTAATAATATTACTCACATTAATAATATTACATATATATTAATAATATCACTCACATTAATAATATAACTCACATTAATAATATTACATATATATAAATAATATTACTCACATTAATAATATTACATATATATTAATAATATCACTCACATTAATAATATTACTCACATTAATAATATTACATATATATTAATATCACTCGCATTAATAATATTACATATATATTAATAATATCACTCGCATTAATAATATTACATATATATTAATAATATCATTCACATTAATAATATTACATATATATTAATAATATTACTCACATTAATAATATTACATATATATTAATAATATCACTCACATTAATAATATTACTCACATTAATAATATTACATATATATTAATATCACTCGCATTAATAATATTACATATATATTAATAATATCACTCACATTAATAATATTACATATATATTAATAATATCACTCACATTAATAATATTACATATATATTAATAATATTACTCACATTAATAATATTACATTAATAGTGGGTTACTTTTGCTATTTTTGCCCAAATATTCTCCTTCCTGTTTCCTTTTAATTCATTTCCAATATAATGATATTTTACTCTTTTCTCCTCAGTTTTTATTTTTTTATTTAAACATTAAATTGTATGTTTTGATTTCTTTCCAGGCCCTCGGTTCCCATGGCAACAGCGCAGTGGAGGTTGACCGTGACACCGTTGAGCGGATGGGTCGTATCCAGGCCAGTTACCGTGGTAACCGGGAGGCAGTGCTGGGCGAGCTGCTGCGACGTGTCTGCGACATCCAGCCAGAGTTTCATGCTAACTACCGTGTGGCCGGCTGAGGGGGCGGGGCCACAAGACCACAGGGGGCGGGGCAAACAGAGGAGACGTGGACGTTAGCAACATTAGCTTCATTAGCTTTGATCATGGCCAAAACTTTTCGTTTAGTTTTAGTGACTTAGACACAAAAGTATGAAATTCATTTAAAAAATATATATATTTTGAAGGTGCAAAGTTCATTACTTCCTGTTTCCTGCTCCTAACGAATAAGAGAACATTAATAAATGTTGTTACTGTGTTGATGTTTACGAAATATTTATATATATCAGAATTAATTTTTGCTTTTTTGTTGAATCTTTCTTGAATCTAACAAAATAAATGTCTGTGTCTCTGAAGAGGAAATCAGCCAATCAGCTGTCAGTATTATAGTATATTGGATGAGCTGATTGGTTGTTTTTCTCTGAACTCTCTCCTCCAATCAGGAGTCATCTCTGTTCTCTGATTACCTGGAGGAAGTGGGAAGGCTTTTATTGTGATACTTTTCTGGTTGTTTCCTGTGTGTGACTTCCTGTTGTTGTGGTTGTTGTGAAGTGATGATGACAAACATTAAACTGAATGACGATTGGAAACTGCGTGATGCTGCTCTGTGATTGGCTGCCAACATGCTGGGACGTTTCAGTCATGTTGCCATGGTTACCCAATGATGCTGAAGTCCTTAGAGAGGCACTGAGAGTCTTAAAAATCAATCAACCAAAATCAATCAGACTTTATTTGTATAGCACTGAATGTGTTTCACAGATTAAAACATCCTCTGTCGTCATCAGTGATACATTGTACTTATGTAACTGATTTAAATAAAACGTTTGAGTTGAAAACATTATTTTGTTGAGTTATGTTGATGTGAATAACGTGTAGTAGCCTAAATAACCAAAAGAAACTTTGATACTAATTATTAGTAAGTGGTAAATAAAATGTCCACTAACTCAATGTGGTTCATTTATTGATACAAAGTGTTGCTCGAGTGGAATATTTGATCCTTTTATTAAGCTGAGTCAGAAATACAAAGAAACTAATAAAAGACATTCAAATGTAGAAATAAATACACAAAGTAAACTTAACAACAAAGAAAATGTGTCAATGTATACAGCCCCCATCCTCTGTAACAGCCCCCATCCTCCTGTAACAGCCCCCATCCTCTGTAACAGCCCCCGTCCTCCTGTAACAGCCCCCATCCTTGCCCATCTCTGTAACAGCCCCCATCCTCTGTAACAGCCCCCGTCCTCCTGTAACAGCCCCCATCCTCTGTAACAGCCCCCGTCCTCCGTAACAGCCCCCGTCCTCCTGTAACAGCCCCATCCTCTGTCCTCCTGTAACAGCCCCCATCCTCTGTAACAGCCCCCATCCTTAACAGCCCCCATCCTCTGTAACAGCCCCCATCCTCCTGTAACAGCCCCCATCCTCTGTAACAGCCCCCATCCTCTGTAACAGCCCCCGTCCTCCTGTAACAGCCCCCATCCCCTGTAACAGCCCCCGTCCTCCTGTAACAGCCCCCATCCTCCTGTAACAGCCCCCATCCTCTGTAACAGCCCCCCATCCCCTGTAACAGCCCCCGTCCTCCTGTAACAGCCCCCCATCCTCCGTAACAGCCCCCGTCCTCCTGTAACAGCCCCCATCCTCTGTAACAGCCCCCGTCCTCCTGTAACAGCCCCCATCCTCTGTAACAGCCCCCATCCTCTGTAACAGCCCCCGTCCTCCTGTAACAGCCCCCATCCTACGTAACAGCCCCCGTCCTCCTGTAACAGCCCCCCATCCTCCGTAACAGCCCTCCCCGTCCTCCGTAACAGCCCCCCATCCTCCGTAACAGCCCCCATCCTCCTGTAACAGCCCCCATCCTCCCTGTAACAGCCCCCGTCCTCCTGTAACAGCCCCCATCCTCTGTAACAGCCCCCGTCCTCCGTAACAGCCCCCCATCCTCCGTAACAGCCCCCCGTCCTCCTGTAACAGCCCCCCGTCCCTCCTGTAACAGCCCCCGTCCTCCTGTAACAGCCCCCGTCCTCCTGTAACAGCCCCCGTCCTCTGTAACAGCTCCCGTCCTCCTGTAACAGCCCCCATCCTCTGTAACAGCCCCGTCCTCCTGTAACAGCCCCCGTCCTCTGTAACAGCCCTCCTCCCCCCGTCCTCCTGTAACAGCCCCCATCCTCCGTAACAGCCCCCATCCTCCGTAACAGCCCCCATCCCCCATCCTCCTGTAACAGCCCCCATCCTCTGTAACAGCCCCCCGTCCTCCTGTAACAGCCCCCCGTCCTCTGTAACAGCCCCCCATCCTACGTAACAGCCCCCGTCCTCCTGTAACACCCCCCGTCCTCCTGTAACAGCCCCCATCCTCCTGTAAGAGCCCCCGTCCTCCTGTAACAGCCCCCATCCTCCTGTAAGAGCCCCCGTCCTCCTGTAACAGCCCCCGTAGTCCTCCTGTAACAGCCCCCATCCTCCTGTAAGAGCCCCCCGTCCCCTCCTGTAAGAGCCCCCATCCTCCTGTAAGAGCCCCCGTCCTCCTGTAACAGCCCCCATCCTCCTGTAACAGCCCCCGTCCTCCTGTAACAGCCCCCGTCCTCCTGTAACAGCCCCCATCCTCTGTAACAGCCCCCATCCTACGTAACAGCCCCCATCCTCTGTAACAGCCCCCGTCCTCTGTAACAGCCCCCATCCTACGTAACAGCCCCCGTCCTCCTGTAACAGCCCCCATCCTCCTGTAAGAGCCCCCGTCCTCCTGTAAGAGCCCCCATCCTCCTGTAAGAGCCCCCGTCCTCCTGTAACAGCCCCCATCCTCTGTAACAGCCCCCGTCCTCCTGTAACAGCCCCCCGTCCTCCTGTAACAGCCCCCATCCTCTGTAACAGCCCCCATCCTACGTAACAGCCCCCCATCCTCTGTAACAGCCCCCGTCCTCTGTAACAGCCCCCATCCTACTGTAACAGCCCCCGTCCTCCTGTAAGAGCCCCCATCCTCCTGTAACAGCCCCCATCCTCCTGTAACAGCCCCCATCCTACGTAACAGCCCCCGTCCTCCTGTAACAGCCCCCATCCTCCTGTAACAGCCCCCGTCCTACTGTAACAGCCCCCCGTCCTCCTGTAAGAGCCCCCATCCTCTGTAACAGCCCTCCCCCCGTCCTCTGTAACAGCCCCCGTCCTCCTGTCTCGCCTTCTGATTGGCCAGAAATAGGACTACCTCATTTAAGCTCCTCCCATGTGTCGTGTTAAAGACGTCATGACGCAGGCGGGCGGAAGTGACGTCAGAGAGTCCGACGGCGAGGAGTTGAACGACTTTCTTCTTCTTCTTCTTCTTCTTCTTTTCTTGTGACTTCTCTAGTTTCGTGTTTCGGGCTGAAGCGGAGAAGAAGAAGTAGAAGATTACCGGAAGAGTTGAGGTGAGCTGACGACCTGTTTCTGTGTGTTAGTGCCACTGACCTCTGCTGCTACACACTAGCACACCATTTGCTATCATACGAAACTCCGTAGAAAAATGTTGCAGTTTAAGGTTTTTCTGCTCACAGCAAATAATATACATGTGCGAGGTTCAAATCTGTGACATTTACAGAACAGGACGGGTCTTGTAGTGAATTCGGCCATCATGTAATTCACCTGCAGAGTCCTCATTCCCACAGATCCTCACCTTTTATGACCTGGTTCACGCTAATCTCCGCCGCCGTCTCCGTTTGTTCTACGGGAACAAGTTGACACGTTTGCAAAGGGGATCTGGTTACACAAACTGTGATTGGTTGATGCTGTGCCCGCCGTATTACAGGTTAGCTCGTGCGCTGTCGGTGTCGAGTTAAAGTCTGCCGCGTGCACGCGTGTGCCTACGAGCAAGGCAGCAAACTGAGCAGGTTTCTCTATGGAGTGTGGTCGCGAGAGTTGGCATCGTGGGAACGGAGTTTTCTGTCGTTGTTTTCCGCGTGAATTAAATAACTTTGGGGATTAAAAAGATGAGATATGACAGAGGAGGGGAACTGGTTGAGAACAATGAAGTCAGTGTGAGACAGAAAAACAAAGAGACACCTGAACAAAGATTGTCTGTTCTCAGAACAGCCACAGTGAGGAAGAGGAGGAGTGACTGAAGAAACAAATCATATCAAACGACAGAGTGTGTATCAGAAACAGGCCAATCATAACACACACCGAGCCTAGAACAACACACACACATTCACACACACACATCAATCATTTCAGCAGGTTTACAGTGAAAGGATTCATTTAGTGGCTCTCCTGCAAGAGATCAATATTAATCCCAATATCTGAATAAAGCATTATAATGAAGTACAGTAGAGAAACAGTAACAGTAATATTCCAGCAGTTAAATAACGGACACTTTACAGTGTAAAGCAATGATCTATAAACCCAGGTGAACTCTGCTTTAATACAATAATCAGATTTACACTTACAGCAGAGTGCTGTTATTATTGGATTGTTATTATTTTAATGTGAATGTTAAAAGTTATAGAAGTGTAATAAAAGTCATTATCTGTGAGATTACAGTAATTATTGCTGTTTACACTGATAACAACTGTATTTGGACAGTTTACCTTATACACTGATAAACAACATTTATTCAACTTCCATCATTATACAACATATCTGTCAGTTCACTAACTAATACATTAAAGTTACACAACTAATACTTTTTACTGTTAATGTCACAAATTTTAGAAATGTATTAACAGTATTAAACTTGAATTTAACAGTTCAATCTATTAAATAACAGTAAATATCTGCGAATAAAAGGAAATAAACAGTATGTTTATTTACAGATTTTTCATCTGTAAACTTACAGATAGTTTTTTTTACAGTTTGGTTTACAAATCTATTTTTCCAGAATAAAGAAAACATGTTTGTTTGGTTCAGAACCTCCAAAACTTCACATTTCGTGAGTCGTATCACAATATATCTGTCCCAAAAATGCAATATGAGGATTTAACCATATAATCAAAAAAGTTTCCTTTATTTCTTAGACTAAATCTATTTTCTTTAACTAATTTATAGAGTCCGTTTTCATTCCTGAGGTATAAAACTATTAACTTTTATTGCTTGCAGTTTCTTTTTAAATGTGTTTCTTTAAATTTCCTTTGAATTCTGTATCGGACTAAGTTTAATGCACTGCTTCCTTTTTGTAATCTAACCCTCCCCAATAAACACATAAAGTACTCTGAATACTCTGGGTTACATGGTTGATACGTGTTTGTCGTGCTGTGCTCAGTTTAAAGGTCAGAGGTCAGCCAGTGAGCAGAACATATGAGCTTTTATTGTCTGTACGTTTTGTGCTTGACCTAATAAATGAGATAAATATAACAAATCATACAAAACACAGAATAAAAGAGAATAAAACACAGTAATAACCCGGGACAAGGCTGGGACGCGGGGCCGGCTAACAACTGGAGATGTATCTAGAACTGTGGATCTGAAAGGGAGCTGTGGAGGTGGTGGGTCAGGATGATGCAGCCAGGGTGAAATGTAGGTAGTCGGAGACAACCCTTGTTTAAAAGGATAAAATCCTTCATGTGAACTTCATGTCCCAGGGTCAAAGGTCGACACCTGTAGGAAGAAGATCATTTACAGAAACTTTATCAAGGAATGTCAGGTCACTGTGACACAGTTTAATACCTTTTTATCTGATCCACCAAGATATTAATTTTTATTACCAGAGTCCATCTTAGCCCAGGCTGAGCCCCCTTTCAGGTGGTGCTGTACGTGAGTCACACAGGTGGATCCAGAACGAACCACCCACAGGAACGGACTCTTGTTCAATTTAAAAAAAGCTGTGGATTTGTACTGTAGTTCTGTAGTTCTTTGGTACTGTAGTTCTATAGTACTGTAGTTCTTTGTTCT